AAAGAATTGTCGAAGGTTCATTCATGGTGGGATTTGGTTGGACCTTTTATGACGAACCATTTTCTCGAAGTATAGGATATGATACTGCAAGTAGCCCTGATTACTATCGAGATAAGTGCGGTAACATTAGAAAAATAGTGCGACTTAATCAAGCCCGGTGCGGAAATCAAAACTTCTTCAAAAGTTAATATTTCAACAGACACAGTTTGATGTGCTCACGATAGTCTATGCCTGGGAAATAAGAAATACACTTCATGTGAAAAGAAATCATACAGAAAAACGAGCCATTTTTAGAAAGTTTCGCCACGTCAAGTAACGTGATGACACTCTTTTATTTGTCATTTTTTATTTGTGTCTTTCTTCCTCTCAACGTTTTTCTTTCTCAGATCGGTTTTTTGCTTTTTAGCGAACAAGTATGGAAAAGGAAAGTCAGGAGTATATTCCTGAAAATGTAAGAGATAAAAAAGAATCCTCTCATTGCTCCTTGGCGAAACTTTAAAAGAAAATTGGCTTGTTTCTCCGCCTGATTCCTTTTCACAAAAAAGGGCACTCCTTATTATCCAGATATGGACTATCATGCGGGTTTTGGAAAACATTTTAGACTGCGTCCATTGAGATATTAACTTTTGAAGAAGTTCTCATTTCTGTACTCGGCTTTATAAAGTTGTATTATTTTCTTATGATACGGCGCTTATCTCGGTCTGATAGTAATCAGGGTTTCTTACAATATAAAATCCTGTAGAATCCTCGAGGAAATTGTTCGATATGAGGTTACCCCACCGAATCCCAGCGTGAAGTGACACTTCGACAATACCTGCGCCTCCATTGCTAGGTTCTCCTTTACGGAAGTCTGGCAGCGGTTCTGCCTTTGCCATTACCTAAGGAACCCAGAGCGATAATAATTTTAGAATTTGATTGGAAATGAAATTCAGCGGAGAATCATGTAGTGGAAGTATGATTTTGTGCCATAGGCAGAGCGAGTATTTTGAAAAAAAGAGAATAAAAAACTGTTGCTCTCGTGTCTCTATGTCTATATTCAGAACTGTGCTTGTATGTGTCACAGATCATCTTTAGAACCTTTCCCGAGAACGTCATCAGATGCAAGTTTTTGGTAAAGTTGTAGGTGATAGTATGATTATGCTTCGCAGTGTAATTGAGCAAGAGAAAACCGGAGAAGTTTCGCGAGCGCGCACTCTTCCAGTATTTTGCGCTAATCTGACAAAAGCACCTCCGCCAGATGTTGGTGACCTTTGCTCCAGGAAAATCCCTCTGAACGTGAGGCGATCTACCCTACACTAAAAAGGTCCTTCTAGGAAAGCCACGGTTTTTCAAAACTTTTTTGCATATTGTAACAACACATTTGTGGACTACAAAACCATGTTTCATTTTCGCTAAAAGGTTCCCTGATGGCCAAAAAAGAGTCGAAAGAATTGTAGGGAATGGGCGGTTTTCACAGCATTGAAGTGACATTTCGAACTTGTACAGAGAACCAGCTAAAATTTAATGCAGGGTGCTGATAAAGATGGTGTCGAAAACAAGGTGAAATTCGCCAAAAATTGAATTACTGTATGGGGTGAAGCTGGGAAAAGGAAGAGCCTTCATAAACGTTGTCGGCATCTTCGCAGGGGACCGCTAGTCGAGTGGATAGCGTGACAGACTCGAAGCAAGGGACGTGGTTCGACCTCGCTCCATGACGAAACTTGATCTTGAAGCATTTCTGAATTGTAACCTTCAAATGAGCGCCAAATTGTCGGCGCCAAATTTGCCACTGTATTTAGAATCAGGACCATCAGCAACCTCTGCAAGTAGCTTTGCTTTCAAAAACTGGCAGATTAAATCTGTAGCACCAAAGTGGCGCTAAGTGGCGCCGACGCCGAAAAAGAACGTCACTTTTGTGATCAGCACCGATTCACACCTGTAGGCGAAATTTCGAAAATCGATATTTAGGCCTAACCTCGAAGAAGGGGGTGACCGTGGGCCACAGGTCGTCATACACGCGTTTTTTTTCTCTTTTCAGTAGGAGTGGCCTAAATGTGTGACTGTGAATTTTAGACTTCACACTATTGAGCTTTTCATCTTCAAGCGGTGAGAACCAAGAATTCTTCAGCGCAGTGATGCTGTCGCGAAAAAAATGTCAGTAGTAGTGCGTGGTGGAGTATCGGTGCTACAGATACGGTGACAATAAAGTAGCGCTTGAATTCTTTGGTGGAATACTTTTTCGTCTGTGACATTTTCGTGCGAAATCAAATAAGTTCAAATTTTAATATGTTTAGAAGGCAGGCCTTCTACACTGAAATAGTGTACTAGTGTTGAGTGGGAGATGGAGTAATGAATAGAAAAGTTTTCCACTAGAAATTCCCGACTATGACCAAGTTCGAAGAAAGTTTCGAATTACTGTAGAAAGCTTACAGTTCAACGAAGCAGTCGATCACATGTTAGGAAACATTGGCCAGATTCAGTGTTTGTTGATAACCTACTGAAGTCGCTGAAACATGAATAGGGTTTAAGTGTGGTGTCAGTCAATGAATGCACTGCTTACCGGGACACCCCCTCTACTTTTCTTCAAATTTGATGAGTTTCTCGTCTACATCCCGGCTCTAATTTCTGTCAAAGGTTTCCCTACCATTTCTCATAATCTTTGACGGCGCTTAGGACATGTGTCTGAATTGATCCCTCAATTAAAGGCAAAGTTTGGGCTCAGACCCACTTAATGAGACCTTATGGTGGTTAGAAGCGCTAGATTCGCAAGTGTAGAGGTCGTTTCACTTCTCTTCTCCGAGAAGCGCTACTTAGACGCTAGGCGTTGAGAATTTTGACACGCTCCACCTGGTGCTACACGCTCCGCCCACCGCTCGATACCTTGTCTGCGTCGCTAACTTGATCTGCTATGCTATCTCTACTCCTAATCCTCTAGCGCTCTCCGCACTCACATTATCTCTCATCGCCTTGCCGACATTTTGAACTTCTCCGCAGCATAGAGCAAAATGCCCCCATTTCCTGTGCATTTCACGATTTTTTCTCCTTTTTTCCACTGGCGGTCCACTTCCTACACCTACCTTCACATTTGGGTGGAATTACCTCATAATTCAATCCTGAACCTTGCCTTTAAAAGCACAGCATGCTGTTGAAACCACCCCATCTCAGTGGAGGTGCGATGCTTTTAATCGCACTATTGCTATAAGACGAAGTAGTACCGTACAAGTGACAGACGTGTGGTTACACAACAAAAGTGGTTCTAAAGCATAACTGTGAAGTGGTCGGCGATGGAATGGGTTCACGCACACACGAACTGGAGTTCCCCGCAGTGCACCAACATCACCTGCAACAACGAGAGTTAATTCATGATGATTGTTGGCGACGGAGGTAAGCGTGCGTGGGGTTCTGACGGAAAAACTTTCGATCTAAAATATTAACAGCCATAATTTACTTGGCCATTGCTACTCTAGATCAAAACTTTTGGCTCGCGTGTGGTAGTGGGTTAAGGGAGCTGTATCACTGCCTAAGCTACAAGAAGTGATGAAAGCAGGCGTATCAGCTAGATTCTAGAAGGAGTTACATATCCAAAGTATGCGTATGAAAACTGTACGCTTCTGGTTTGTCTTCTAACAATAGAGCGACCAACAGCATCGCCGCTCTATTGTGAAGGAGGGGTTTCGACAGCATGGCGCGCTTTTAATGAAGGAAGCAACTCTGACACATGTCATTAGGGTCATCGAAACAATATTGAAGAAGATAGGATTTTTTGGCAGGAAGAAGAGCCAGGAAAATGGGCGAGAAACGCGTCAAATTCGAAGAATAGTGGTGGAAGCTGTCCCGGTACACATTGCATTCATTGACTGATTCCATACTAAGGCCTTGTCAAGAATTCAGCAACTCCAGAAGGCTACTAACAAACTATTACATCTACTTAATCTTCTTCATCATGCGGTGAATTGTTTTGTTGAATTGTATGTTTTCACAACAATTTGAAAGTACTTGGAATTTGGTCACACTCGAGAATTTCTGGTGAAATGATTTTTTCATTCTTTACTCTTTTTCCCACTTAACACTGATACGCCAGTTCAGTGAGGAAGACGGCTTCAAAACACATTAAGACTTGAACTGATTTTATCCAGTAGAAAAAACTACAGTCGAAAAAGTATTCCACTGATGACTTCCCAGTGTGACTGGTAGTCGAAGGGCTAAACAGAATTTTGCTCTCGTGAATTACGTCACAAAATGGGTTAACTAGCACAGAGAATAAAACCAAATAAAAAAATCAAAATTAGAGTCGTCACACTCAGAGTCTCACAAAAAAATTCAATGTTAGGGATTTTGTACTCTGAATATCGATACCTTTTTTGGAACGGTATGGACAACTGCCTCATTCTGCTCATCCTCAGCTTTTCGCTGCTTAAATTGTCAACGTTACGTGGGGTTTCAGGGTTGCACACTCGTAAGAAATTATTATACATCGATCGAAGAAAATGGAGTAATGCCTATATTGTTAAATAGGCTCGGTGCCAAGTACACCAGTGCGACGTGGAAAGTTTCGAGTGGATCCGTTCACCATGTCTAGGAGCCGGGGATCAAATCCCTTGGAATCCCACGATTCGGCCTTCGGGGTCGATAAATAGCGATCTAACTGAAATGATAAGAATTTTGCGTTATGCACAGGCTGTGTCCCGCAAGTGTCTATTTGGATGGGCAAATCAGCGTCCAAATGCTACCGATTTTGAATGGGTATATGTACAATGCAAGAAACATCCCAAAGAAGAATTGATCGTTGCCGAACGCTTGATAGCTTCATCTTCAACGTTGATCAGCATTAAACACACCTATGTACCTTGCTGTTAACTTTAACACAAGGGAGCAAGCTCATGTCACAGTGGAACCTTAAGCAACGAACAGCGCTCCACCTCATTATTAACTACGATTTACTTTCCTTTTTTGTTACATCAGTTGCGTCCGTGGTTTATAGATCAGTTTGTAAAACAGCAAACAAATACGAGTTTTTACAGATGCGAAATCTTCATCTCATTTGGGTGTTATCACTAATCATAGAGGCGGCATTCGCGTTGCACTCAATGAACGAAATTCTCACACTCAACCGATTGAAAAGTAAGTTTACGTTTCAGACAATGGCAGTGTCACTTTTATGGAGAAGTTTGAACAAAACAATACAAGAATGCTTGCGATTAGTCAGGGGCAAAACTTCCGCCTTGTGCTAGCACAACAGCCCGGAAAGCTAGATGCGGTTCGAATGCCACCTGGGGCGAAAGTTTTGCTCATACATCAGCATCCTTGTAAAGCATTTGCAACGAGAATTGCGGCGTTAAAATAGTAATAAACAAACAACGCTCAATCGAATACGCTATACAGTCTTTTTTCAAAATTGTAGCTATCCAATTATGTCAGTATGAGGTAACTTCAAAACCATATCTTCATCATAATTCAATGACAATGAGAAGATATGTAGTAGAGGAAGCCCTTCTTTTCTCTCGAGAGAACCTTATCCGGAAAAAGTTGCAAAACTTTCCACTCAGTAAATCTGTAAGGTTTGCTTCTTGGACTTCCTGAACTCGGATAATGATGAACTAACCACCTGAAATAAAAGAAATGAGAAAAGTAAGGCAGCCTTTTTCACAGGGCGATTTTCAGAACATATAACCTTATCAGAGCTGCTGAAAGACCCAAACTACATTTGTGGCTAATGGCATTTGCGGGTGGTGGCATTTATTCCAAAAGATTGTTTAGGTGAGAGTAATCCCGCCAAAAAAAGGAGACCCCTTTGCTATAAGGCGAATACTGTTCATTTGGCAACTCCTCATACTGCGAGATAAATACGGTAAAAAGGAGCGCGAGCGACCAATGAGAAGGACGCATGCATCGATTTGTACTGCGTCAACCTCCTCACACATGATCGGGAACAAATCATCTCCTCCTTATTGCTAGTTGTCAGCCACACCTCCAGTTTTTTGCGGCTCTACTTAAGCTGGAAGCGATGACAATTTCCTGTGATGCTTTCCGTATGATATCTACCTTTCGAATGAGCATTACTGTCCAGATCGTCGTTCGCCTGCGGTCGTCTTTTTGGAACACATCAACGACCGCTTCACACTCGCTTTGGCCGATGTCACAGTTTGCGAATCGAGGAATTCGCTAGTGAGTCGTTGGGTACACCCTAGGAGGCCCGTCGCGCGGCAAGAAGGCAAAGTCAGCGGACGAGTTGCGCGCGCTATAGGGATTTCGCGTAAAGTTAAATAGAGTGTCCCAATGCACATCCCACATCGTACACCACGCGTTGCAACTCGTCCGCCGAGTCTGCCTTCTTGCCGCGCGACGGGCCTCCTGGGGGGTACCCGTGAGTCGTTGGATCCGAGCGAATCGACCGAGGCACCAGCGAGTCGAACTATTTATTAATTTATTGCACGCTTAGGTGCGCTACATAAATTCACATCTTAACATCAGTAAAACTAGAACACAGAACAATAACTAAGTGAACCAGCTAGGCAGCAATCGAGATAAAGAGGTGATTCTCCAGGACGAAATTCCGAAAAGCAGGGATGTCTACAGATGTAATTTGGAAGGTTACTGTAGGACCAATTTGAGTTGTACTCGAGCAGAAATGTGTTCAGTAAGTCAGTCAGTGTTTAGAAATCAATGGGCGGATAGTGCTAGGGATAACGCCACTCCTAAACGGGCACGAGGCATACCCATGGAATCAGAAACTGAATTTTTGGATGTTAGGTATTCCCTACCCCTAACAATTCAGCCTCTGACCTGCCACATATCAAGTCCAGTCTTAGATCAACTCTTTTTGTGTGACTACATTAATCGTAGGCATCTCGGTGTGGTTACGATCTGGAGGTCTCCTTATCAAGCGCTTGGAACTGATTCTCGACAAATGAATGAATTCACAAGGCATCAAGTACTATCAAGTATATATATAAAAAAGAACAAAAAGCTCATAAATATTGCGTGGCTTCTCTTCAATGTGTCATCAGAGACAGCTTGAAAGGGAGGAGGACGACTGCTGCAATGAGATTTTCTAATACCACGAGACTCAAAAATCTCAAATTCCGGGATGATCCAATAAATTAACTTTCCTCAATCTAGTTTTGAAGACTCTGACAATTGGCACTTGTTGTATCTCCGGTGACAACGTCTCTATCCATCTCGCTACACGAAAAAATAGAGAATTGAAAACTTTCGTTGAGATTGCCCTCAAGTTCCGTGTACGGTTCGCTACCGACGAGTTGCGCTGCGGCACGCGCGGCGATCTGGACGGGCAAGGCTTCGCGGGTTCAACACGTTAAAAGTGTGCAGATTGCGAATAACTCCGCATGGTTCTGGGTTTGAAAATCTTTCCGTTCGCGGGGATTGGAGGCAGCAGTATTGACGAGGAGATTTCAGCGCAAGTGATGAGTGAGGACCCTCATGTAAATGTAACTACTACCATCAAAGCAAATGAGAATCACTAAAATTGGGAGCTCTTGTTGAGGTTTGATGTCTACCATATATGTTTTGCTGATCGAGGCGCTCATGTCCAGCGGAGAAACATTCAAAACAAAACAACAAAACAGGGTCGATGGTAGGTGACACCAGGACTAAGCCCGGCAGAGGGGAAACACCAGGGAGCCCTTCTGCTGGGCTTAGCCTAGGGTAGTCTATCCCCCCGAATCCCTTCTCCTCCCTAAGTCTCGGTCCCAAACACAGTAATTGCCTCACTCACATCCCCCAAATGGAACGCCCCCCCCCAACAACATGACCGCCCTGATTGCCATAACAGCACTATGCTGGTTCCTTCTCGTCTCTTCCTATTGCTACAACCACCGCTGTCCTCAAAATTACAGCCGCTCAGAGTTCAGATGCATTTCAAATTGCAGAAACTTGCGTATTTTATCCACAATCTTCACACGTTGTCGTGTTGAATTCCCATGCGTCGGGATCGCCGCGCAATTTGCCGCGTGCCAACCCGGACGATGCAAAAGTCCGTCGCCCAGGCTAGCGATATTGGGTATAATACTAGCTACGCTACTGAAAGCTGCAAAAAAGTGGTCTCTCAGGGGTCGATCCAGTGACCTGTTTTCCTGAGCCATGACCACTGCCCCTGCACTTTTCAGCCTCATAATTCCATTCAGCGAAGAGTTTAGCTGATAAGGAAGGCATACTTGAGCTCAGCGTCCCCAGGCGTGTATAGACATATACATCTCATTTCGATTGGCCTGCTTGACCAAATGACCTTCCCGGGTAAGGATAAAAGTTTGGCCTTACAATTAGACGTGATTCGGATGCTTACCGATGCTTACTACTTTCACTGCCCTCCTCATGCACCCTTCGTCAGCTTTCCATTAGTATTAATGAGAATTGACAAGTCGAATGTTTGTCTCTTACCTGATGACAGAATTTCGTCATTGTGATTAGAAGTTCGAGCATTACTGAGGCGTAGCAGCTTCCAAGCCAATACATTGACGGCATGGTGCTGGTAATTTCTCATTTCTAATGGCAGTGAATGGAAACAAATAAACGTTTATCAGTTAGTTGCAAGCTTTTCATGAATCGAATTCAAACTAAACCCTAGGGAAAGTTCGTGTGGAGGAAATGCGGAGCAATTTTCGGAGGAAATACACTGTCGTACTGAATAAGAGAATTGAACTAACGGTACACTTTGTACATAAAACGTGTACTTTGACTTCAGAATACAAAAATGATGCTTCAATTTTTTTAAGAAAGAACAAAGAAATACCATCTCCGAACTATGCAGTTAACTAGCAACACTGAGTCCTCCTGTGGACGTATGAATTAGTGCACTGAATCCGTTCTAGTATAAATTAGTTTCCAAACATTTGACGCGACAATTTGAAAGAAACGTGATTTACCTGTTGTGTTTTCCGATTTTTGGAAATTATATGACACATTGGATTCTATTATGCATTTGATTTGTGATTTTTTTTCGTTTTTCAAATCTCATCTATCCCTTTCTATGCATACAGAACTCTCGTGAAATTTCACACAATTGCGGCTGCATTTTCTCTTCCTGAATTTTTACCATGTTTCTCTGGCAAACAAAGCGCTCGTCCCTATTGCAATTGTGGAGACATTTTTTCACTTTGAATGATTGCATCGCATTGCGCTGCATGACACAATTTTTGTGCTAGTTGTTCGCTTTCGCGTAAAATGACCTAATTTGGGCGACAGTAAGTAACGACGAAACGTCAGGTGCATACATTTCGCAATAAATTCGTGAGACGAATATAGAACGGAGATTAATGAAACAGATGAGCAACCCGCAGCGAACTTTCCATGAAAGATGCATGAGAGATAGTGAGAGATCACTTGGTTAGTTAGGGGTAGCCTTCAAATCTCTCTTGCTTTAGCTCACCTATAGGTTACCCTAACCTTTTCTTTGTCTGAAATAGCTGTTGATTAGTGCCGTTTTGGGAGAGGGAGAAACATAGTTCGAAAAATCAGCAGAGGCATACATCAGCAATGTGTTGCCGCTCGTTAGTCATAACTCTGCCAAACTTTGTAGTAGATTGTCAGTCTCGCTTCACCAGGAACAGAAGTTCCGAAGCGATCCAGTCATCGGCTCATTTCCGCACTTATTCATTATCTCGGAGGAATATGTCAGACTGGCCAATGTGTCGCAATGGGATGAAATGTAGTAGACAGGTCTGAGAGTAAAGAAAAAAAGTGGAGCATATCGTATCCAGAGGCCTTCAACTTTTTTAAAAATGATAGCTGCAAAGTATGGCTCCGAGCACACGTGGGGACCGAGACGTTGAGCGTTTTTTTTTCGCTTCTAATGGTTCATTTTCTGCCGTTTGGATTAAGTGGACTCCACTCGGGCCAGCCATAACCTTGTCACGTGAATCCAATAGTCCTGGTACGATTTTCTCTTTATCCTGACTTGTTCGGACTGTGTCGTCACTCTTTGGTCTTCATCTCTGAGTCATTGCTCCCGGATCGTTGATGCGCACCACTTAAATTTCGTTCGGATGAAGTTTATTTACTCTTAGTGTCAGGAAGACTTAAGCTGCTTTGTAGAGTTTTAGCGTGAGTTTTCTTTTCAGTCAAGGACATAAAATTATAAATGGTTCCTGTAGTAACTTGATTCA